GGAGCCGCCGACTCCCGTCTGTATCGATTGCCTCCCAGGAGATTGTCGCATAGCGCAGGAGGCGCAGGAGGCAGGAGCAGAACAAGGGACGACGAATGCATTTTCATTTGACTCAGGTCTGGGTTTTCGTCCGTTCAGATCAACAACTTGGATACGTGGACTTGGTAATTGAATTACAATTTAGAAACACACAAGAAAAACATTTCTTCCTGAAAAATTTATGAATGCAGTAGAACCTCAATTATCCGGACCTCAGTTATACGGATTCGCGATTATCCGGACTACCAACCGCGACTAATTTATATGCATCTACATTAGGGTGATCTTTAAATGGTCATTTGTCAAAATTTGTCAAAATCATCATTTTTCCAAATAGATAAAAAACAATTCTCTGAAAGTTTTAGCTCTTAATATTAACGTTTAGATAGAGCGCAATTCAATCAAAACTTTGTATGGAAAGAGCATGGAAAAAATTTTGAAAATTGAAAAAAATGTTTTAGGTATAACTTAGCGACAAATGAATGAGTTTTATTCATACATTTGTTTGCTAAATTACATCTAAAAAACATTTTTAAAATTTTTGAAAATTTTTTCCATGCTATTTCCATACAAACTTTGATTGAATTGCGCTCTATCTAAACGTTAATATTAAGAGCTAAAACTTTCAGAGAATTGTTTTTTTATCTATTTGGAACCATTGGAGCCCCTGAGAGCAAGAAATTCAAAAATGGCCATTTTAAGGACCACCCTAATCTACATACCTACAATTCGAATTTTTACATGATTATTGGTGCAATTTAGTATAATGTAATCGAAGAAAATATGTATGCACATACATAAGGAAGTTTCAATTTCTTAATAAGCTATTTTCGTTTATATCTTTGTATGTATTTGTCATTTTTAATAAATACACAAAATTATTCTTCACACATTCGATTGTCCGGATTTTTTATTATCCGGATGCCTATCCACAGCAATTAGTCCGGTTATTCGAAGTTCTATAGTAATTCAATTGGAAAAATATTTATTTTATTTTTCTAAAATCCTTATTAACTTTTCCAAGAAATTTGTTTCTGCTAGAAAATCTACTATTCTAAAAAAATGCTAGTTGTAGAGTGAAATATAAATTTACTTTAGTAGTATAGTTAGTGTATTAGTATATAGTATATAGTAGTAAAGTATATTAGTTTATTATTAGGATATTAGTAGAGTATATAAAATATTAGTATAGTATATTAGTATTAGTATAGTATATTAGTATATTAGTTAGTATATTAGTATATAATATATAGTAGTATAGTAAAGTATAGTATAGTTAGTGTAGAATATAAATTTACTTTCTATTTTTTTAATTTCTTAGTTTTAGAATTTGAGAGATCTACAATAGCGAGAGAAGTTTAAACAGCATTATAAAAAGTATTACTTATTGAATATTCTAATAAACAAATAAAATAAAATTAACAAAATAATCAACTAAGTATGTACTAATTATACTGTCTCTTTGTGCTTACAATTTTTTATATTAAATATTAGCTTTTTTGACAAACTTTGCTCATAAAGATGCAATTTTTGTTTAATATAATCGCATAAGAACTAGAAGATATATAAAATATAAGAATTTTAACAGAATTGTGAAATACTTTATCAAAGTTATTTAAATTGCACAAGTATGATTGTTATCTATAGAAACTATTATATTGAACTTGAAAAACTATTATATAAATCTTAAATTTATAGATACGAGAAAAATATATTCTATACATACAACATGAATTTACATTATTAACTTAAATTATACATGATTATATAAATAAGCTTTAGTCTCAAATTTAAATTTAAATTTCCCGCCTGCATCAAACTTCACTTTGCAACAACTTCATGGCAATCAATCAAGCCGACATTGTTCAACTCCTCATATGTCATTCGCTTAACCTCTTTTATAGAAGCCGCAGTTTAATTATATATAAAAATGTATTATTGCAAAAGATAGTAGTTATATGTTGCCACTGATTTATATTTAGAACCCCAAATGTAAGTGCAAAGATATTTTATGTAATTATTGTAAATAATTAGCGATATTTTAGTAAAAGTGTTTAAACTTTTTGACCAACTGTCACTCATTATTGAAAATACAAGTTTGTGGGTTTAATAATCGTTAAATCAATATGATTATGTTCAAAATGAGTCGGTTTTTATTATTTGTATATTATTAATTTTTTATATTAAAACACATCATACATTTTCTTATAATTTAGCCACATTTTTGGTCAGTTGCTGTTTTTAAAATTGTATTTGCTCTCAATGTTAACACGATGCAATATTTATTTTTATTATAATTTTATATCCAACTGCATTTTCTTTCAGAATACTTATAAGAATTTTTTCTTAGACATAAGAAATGTCTAATCAATCAGAAACTATTTCATCTAACTCTCACAAAAAATGGGGAGGATTTGAAGATGCTCCTGAAGAAGACGAAGATTGTGCGCTTGATATACCTATAGACAACTTAAATGAATTAATTCAACAAGCGATGCAACCTGATGCATTAGGAAAAGATGTATCCGAGGATTTTGTCTCTGATAGAATACAGTAAGAATTTAAAACTTAATTAAAACTTGACTTAATTTTAACTAACTTCTATTTATTTATTTATTATTGTAGGATCAAAGTTGGTTGTCCAAGAGTTTTAAATACAATAGATTTACAACAGTATTATTCCCACATATTACAAATGACTGACGATGTGAAACAAAGGCTTGGAAAGCTGGGGGTAAAATTAAAAATTTATACACAATAAATTATATATAATTAATTATAATAATTATATATTATATATAATTCATTTTATTATGCAGGTTAATGAAATCGAATCCGTGCCTCCCGCCCCTGAACTACCTCAACCAGTGCCTGCAAAATATAAACAAACTGTCTGAACTTTATTCATCCATTAGAAACTGATTTCACAAAAGGCATTCCACAACCTGTACCTGAAATTGATCAAAAAACATGTCGTGTATTACTTAGGCAGAGTATTTTGTTATTATTGGCACAGATTGGTTACACAGGTAATAGAAAAATAAAAAAAGAGTGCGCGTAAGGATCACACGCGATTGAAGTAAAACTTTTAATATTGTATGAGTAGGCAATTAAGATAAAAATAAAAAAACATCATATTTGAATTTTAAAAATCATTTATTAATAATCACATAACATCAATAACACAGTTTAAAACAACAGCGATAGATTAATTGCTATCATATTTCGTATATGATATAATAGGTCTGTGATAACTGAAATGAGAGACATAAATTTTGCTTTGTAAACTATGTACATTTCTGGAGAAAACTGCATCAATAGTCGTGCCATATCTTGTGGTTGAATCAAATGGAGAATTATTCATTGTTAAATTAAATTTATTATTTAAAAAATCAATTAATGGTTGAGATTCTTCTGAACGAAAATTGACATTGAAATCTCCAGCAAGAATTAATGGTATCTCGTTGTGATTAGTGTTTAAAAATTTTGCACCCTCATTAGAAAAATGAAGTAACTGCTGATGAAGAAATTCAATAATATTTGATATGTTTTTATTGGGAGAAATTTAAAGGACGACTATAATCAATGTTTGATTCTGTGTGTTCACACAGCGGACAACTGCAATATCACCTACTTGTATAATTTCATTAGGAATATCCAGTAATATTGTTGGCGCAAGAAACTGCATAGAAGTGGCATTATGAAGAGTATCTGAACATGAATGATATAACAGCTACACCACCTGCTCTTGAGTTTGATCGTTTGTATTGAGTAACGCAGTAATAGTTCTAAATATCAATTTGTTCTTTATTATTAATCCAAGTTTCCGAAAATAACAAAAACGTACAACGTTGTAGCACTTTATCTTGCAGATCAGGCAAATGAGCTCGTAAACTTTGGCAGTTAAAGGAAAACAATGAAATGTCGTTCAAACTTATTATCTCACTCAATTTTTCTTTTTGTGTTATTAATCTACAAGTTGAAAGTCTTTGGAATTCAGTTTGTAAGTCCATTAATCCTGCTGGCCATTTTCTTCCATGATAAATTTTTTTGTCGTTGTTTTAGAAATGATGAACAATCCATTAATGCTGGTAACTCGTGATAATGCAACATATAGAAGCTGCTGATTATGTGTTTTATTGTATTCATATACAATTTCATCAAAATATCTTACCAGGAAATTCAAACCATAAACGTAGAAGTTCATCATTATCGCCACGTTCTATGTACACTAATTTTCCTACACAACCATTAGCTAAGCCATCACTTACATCAATATTAGTTGTTATTATGTAAAATTTATTCAGAACTAAAATTATTCAGAACTAAAATTATTTCATACGGCAAACCCCCGGTATCAATAACCGATTTTTTTGAAACTGCTGACGAATGTATGATTGTTGATCTGTCGCATGGCAACCTACATAAATATCCGTGGCAGTAGATATTATTTTGTCTTCGAGATTCAATATAAATTTATTATATTCCATGACACAATTATTCTCTAAGAAAAGTCTTATTCCATGAGGACATAATACAGCAACCTCTTCTTTTGTAAAAAAAACGTGATTCAATTAATGCAAGTTCATATAGGGTTCAGCGCTCGACTTACGCATGACATGACGGGAGTGGATACTCGCGACATCAGCGCTTACGGCGTCGTAGTGTTCAACTACACGTTGGCGTTTTCGTTGCATTTGTACGGATTTACACCCGTGTAGCCTAAAGAAATTTTTACACCCATATCGCGCCTAAAGAAGTTTTACTTCAATAAAGCTTATATGTGAATTTGTAATTTTTATTTATTTTTGTTGTTGCAGAAGTGCTGGATAATACATTAGATACTTTTGTTGATGCTGTAGATGAATATTATAGAAATTTATTAAGAATACTTCACTCTAAGATGGATTGTGCTCGTAAGGGATATTATACTCAATTTTGTGTAAGTTTTTGTTTAAATATTCTGAATTAATTTCACTTTAATTTTTATGAGGCATTGGTTTTAAATTTTTGTTGTTCTATTTTTTTAGGATATTTATGAACATTCTCTGCAAGACGTTGGAGTAGGTGGATTCAATGGAATTAAAAGATATTATAATCACTTTGTTATCGATTATGAAACTCGTGTGTACAAGTAAGTTTTTATTTTCAATTTATTAAAAATTAAATCAGAAATTAAATCAGAAATTAAATATGAAACTAGGTGAACCTGGCTTTTTGCCTTTATGCAAGTCTAAATAAAAACTTAATAAAGAAATAAGTTGAATCAATATTGCAACTATGACAATAACATTTGCAATTTATAGTTTTTTTTTCTTTTCAGAAAATGCGTGAAAGCCCGCCAAGATCTCTTAACCCTTATCGAAACCCCTCCTAAACCACCTGGAACACGCCGACGACGTAAACAAAGTCTGGAAGAAACAACAGACCACGATTTTACATTCGGTTACGGTTCAAATTTAGAAAGTTTTATACCATCTGTAGCCTCAAGTTCCACCAGCTCTCGAAACGAAGTGCCTGTTCTACATTTACCGGAGGACGATTCGAGTTATGTAGGTGACAATTTGTATGAACTTATACCAGATGTTGAAATTACGGATGGGGGCTCTAATGCCAGTGGAACAATTGGTGGAGATGCTAAAAGTGGAGCGGAGAATGCTGCTCAGGCTGGGAGTAGTGGGTGAGTGGATTAAGATGGTTTTATGCATGGGGTTATGGTTTTATAAAAATTATTTTGGTGTTTTCATTGTTTTGTTGTATCGTTCATCACAATTACATTCATTAACTTCCCGTAGGGCAAGTTATAGCAATCGGAAAAAATCGAAAATGAAAATTTTTATATATCTTTACGTTTCAAAGGTTTCTGAACATTTTGGCTGAACACACACATACATCCGTCCACGTTTTGGTCAAAAATTCTGAATCGATTTAAAAAAATCAAAAACCATTCGAAAGACATTATTTGGGAATCGCGTTAACTAGTTTTGGACAAAGATCGGCCGGGCCGTTTCTTCGTAATTACCTGTTAAAATTTTTTTTATAAAGTTTTTTATATTGATTGACTTCATGGTCCTGAAGAACATACTAAAATTTTACTGTCCTGCAAGTAGTTTATTTTAAAAATTTATCAAAGTTTGAAAAAAAATGATGTCAAAAAATTTGTGCTAAAAGTCTTTTTTGTGATGTGATCAGCGGAAAAATAAGTCTACAAAACTTCTCTAGTGGTGTAAAAATGTTACCATTAATTTAAATTATTAAATATTTATATTTATAGTGAAAATTTTATTTAAATATCTAAATTCAATTTCGTTTGATCAAGTCAATTATTACACATTAAGGCAAAATGCCACTTTTAACAAGTTATATTTAAGTGATTTGATAGTTCAGTTATTTAGGTATTTATGGTATGTATTTAGTAAATTTTAGTATATTCCAGAGATTTGTTTTATTCTTACAAGGTGTGAGCTTTTGCCATAATTCTCTAAAGAACGGTTCATTCATAAATCATATCAGGCATCATATTATAACAAATTTTATAATTTTATTAGTTCCTTCATCATTGGCTTAGTTTGGTGTTTTTTGTGCAATCTAATTTTAAGTGAATAGAGCTGATTCAATTTAATTTAATAGATTTATTAAGTTAAATAAATTGAGTCTTTTTCTAATGTGCAGTTTGATGGGAATGGAAATGACTTCAGAAAGGGGACACACTGAAGATTCGACAACTGGATACTATGATGTAGAAGACTTATCTAATTATTAAATTATACTTTAATAATTACAATGAAACGCTGGATCAAGACTAATTATTGTATTATTTAATATCTATATAGCTGTGCTAAGATTTATTAGATTATGATTAAATATTTTTTTAGAGATAAAATTGTTATGGATATAAGTTATAATAAAATTTTAAATAAGAGACAAATTGATTTCTGTAAGTTTCTTGTATCATCTTAGTTTATAGATGGACATATTATACTTAAATTAATTGTTGCCGGAATAATTTATGGTTTCAACCATAATGGGAAAATTTATTTTGGTAAAAACAATTTTGTTACAATAACTTAAATTCTAGATACTCTAGTTTATTATTTAGTTCAGTAGAAATTAGAACAAAATTTAAGCATGTTAATATAAGTTCATTCAACATTTATTTATATTCAAGCAATGTCTTATAATCTAACAAAAATTCAAAATCCAACATCGAATGATTCCTGTTTTATTTTTTAAATAAACAGGCTATTAATGGTTGATTCAAATTCAGGCAGTGATTTAATTTCCTGACGTATATCTGGCAAGTGTATATTTGTGTCCATTATTGGTTCATCTTGTGCAATTTGCTGTTTTGGAATTACTGGTTCACAGTTGCAATCAATATCGCTTTCATCTTGGAAGGACTCGGATAAACCTGGGGAAGAAAAATTATTAATTTTGCCACATCATTTCCCAGTGAAGATCGAATCTTATTTTTGAAATGCTCTGCTGTTTTCTTGCCAAAACAGAATAAATTTATGCTCAAGTATAGCTTTTAGACTTATGAAAGAGCAAAAATTATCACTTTCGCCAGATGGAATCTGGTGCCAAACAGGAATGTCAACAAATCTATTATTACTTACGTCTTTCTCTATTTCGATATCCAGGAAGAGTTTCACATGCTAATCTAGTCCGCCTAGCATTTTCCTTCCTGGTGCGTGCATGGTCTACTAGTAAAGGAAGCGGATATTGGGCCCCTAACCTGCAGGCAGCACGCCTCTGCTCCTCACGAGACGCTAGCCAAGGTGCATGCACCAGTCTGGCTGATCGAAAACCACGCAAAGCTGGTACATACTTCCTGAGAAAAAGATATACATGCTAATAACATTTTCAAAAAGTTGGTTTGGATGTTTTCGTGGTACCTGATGTACTCTGCATCAGGATCAACTAATTTTCCAAGCGCTACTGGACATACAGAGGGTGCTGGTTTGCGAAAGAATGAGGAGCATGATAGCCACAACCAACTACCAGCATTTGTCGACCAGTCTGCATCTAATAGAAGATCTTCAAATACCTAGAAAACAATTTAGTGAGTGTTTATCATAATTATTTGAACTGATGATTTGCTCAGACAGTACTTTCATTCCTTCTTCCCAACTTATAAAAAGAGCTCCTTTGGTCAGAAAATCTATCAAGGCAAATCTTGCCAAGTGGTGAATCCAACCTTCACTTCTTAATTGTGACATGGCTGCATCTATCCATGGAAATCCAGTTTGGCCCTTCAGAATAATAATAAATCAACTTCGGTTGATAAAATTTTATTATAATAAAATTGAATCAACCGTTAATTATTATCTTACGTTTGCCCATTTTGCAAGAGCAGTTGGATCTCTGTCCCAAGGCGTTTGCAAACATAAAGGATTTCCTTGTACTCTATCAAAACGAGGATTGTCTGCTCCGCAGCAGTACAAAAACTCTCTCCATAAAAGAGGCATTACTGCTGGTGGTGGTTGAAGTAATGGTTTTGTTGCAGGAGCCAAATTAAAGTTGCTGTTTCCATTAGTTGATGGTAGGCGTTGCAATTCTGAAAAACAAAAAAAAAAATGAAAAAATAGAAACCCTATTGAAGTTTTTAAGCTCTTGGTGAATTATATTTGTGGAAGTAGTTATGAATATAAAAATATAAAATCCATTGGATGAAAATATAAATGATTTATTAATTTTAAAAAATTAAATTTATTTATGATAAAAAAAAGACAAATCATTTTTTGTTTTTCGATGTCTCGCCAGCATGATTCCCCACACACTACCCGCCCAGTGTTGACCTCTTAGTTAAAAAAAAACAGGGAAACACGTTATAAACATATGATGGGAAAGCAGATTATAGCAGTGGTGTAGTACTAGTTTATTATTAATTCATCCAATGGAATAAATGACGGTTTCGTCAGGAGGATCCACCGTATGGTAGGTAATTGGACCTTCCATCATCTTCATACTTTGCTTATGGTTCTGAATATAAATCACGTGGTGAATTTCCTGAACCTCGATGTCTTGGTGAACTTCGAAAATTCAGCCTCGATCTACTGTATTAATTTTTATTTCTACAATATTTTGGGTAAATAGATGGCGCTCTCTAAGAATATGAGTTTTCGCTATAATTAAAATAATCTTGTTGACTTCTGTAGCCCTTTGGAACATACATCGGATTCTCAAATCGGATGTGATTCGAAGGAGGGCGTATTAAAGAGTCATCATCTTGACAAGATGCAGTCCCAAAGTCTTATACATCGAAAGACGATTTGATGAGTTAACGGACAAGGAGTGGTTGATTTGCGATTCCAATGAACCATTTGATATTGAATTCAATTCATGACCCAAAGTCTAGGCTCAGAATTCATTTTTGTGTCAGCAATAAACACTGAGGTCTGGGTATACTAAATGGGTATACCAACAGAAGTCCGGTGTCAGTAGAGTAAATGAGTTAACTCGCGATGACCCGAGGACTGGACGTACCTTAGTAGTCGCGGAAGACCAGTGATTATGGTGAATATTATATATGAATTTCCGATTCATGCTCCTTCTCTGTCTTTATCACGTCGGGGTCACCAGTGTGGAAAAATAGTTATGTATATAAATATATAAAATTATTGGATGAAAATATAAAGTATTTATTGACATTTAATGATAAATCATTTTTTGTTTTTCGATGTCTCACCAGCTTGATTCCCCACATATTGGAGATATTCTGTACGCAGCCTAGGAAAAATCAAATAACTCACTAGATGGAGCACACTAGATGGAGGACTCTAGAATAAAAGGTGGATCTAGTTGCTAGAAATATCAACTGAAAAAAGTCTTCCTACTCGTTGAGAAATATGTAAGAGAACTCTACGGACTTTTTGGACAAGAATGTAGAAAATTGATTATTTTATATGAAAAAAAAATGCAGAGACTTTGTGGATAAATTTAAAGACATTATCTAGTAACTATTACCTGCTAATTGATGATAGCACAGTCTAGCACTCAAGCACCCGAACCTCAGATATGGCGATAAACCTGCACCATCAGCCATCAGAAATCCTGGCGGCAAAGTGTCAGAATTTGGAGACGAATTCAGAGCAAGAGTTCTTTTTTCAGCATGCCTTTCCAGACGTGCCAAAGCTTCTGCTTCACCTCCTCTCCAAACTGGCGGTTCAGAAGAATTAGCTTCAAAACCTGAGGAAGCAGAACAAAATGATTTCAGAATAAATTTTGTAAAACCTTGTATTTTTTATTACCAAGTTCGGCAAGTGTAGGCACTGCGTAGGATTGGTCGTAGTCTGGATCTGTGGGTACTCTGGTTCGAGTGGTAAAAAGGCGGTCGCGTCTGACTGGTCCTGCTGGAGGATCTGGTGGACCCATGGTAGTTAAAACTCCCAAAAATTGTTCGAAGGTGACTGGAGCTGATCCTCCGTTGTGCTCTATAATGCTAAACAAAAGTAAAGGATAGCATAAATATTGCACAATAAATAGAATTTTTGGGTGTATCTAATTTTTCTTACCTGTCCAGTGGATACAAAGTATGAGATTCGTACTCCACGATTTCAACACCATTATCCCTGCATCTTGCGGCCAATTTGCGGTCTCTGGCCCTGCCATAGGGCTCCGGATCAGTTTCGTAACTTAACAAAGTGACCCCCCAACGTTCCAGCAATGCTGGAAGAGCATCAGCTGGTTGACCACGTACTACGTGTAGTCGACAATCCAGGCGAGATTTTAATGACGTGTCTAAATCGGTTAGGGATTCTAGAAGAAATCTAAGGAATAATTAAAAATAATAAGTAATTCAGTCAATAGGATAGCTACAGTTTTGGAATTTGGATTTTCGGTTCAACAGAGTTTGGAATTTAGTGAGCTATTGGTCAATAATATATGAATATAAATTTTTGGTTATGGCGTTGCTATATTAATTTGCGATGGTATATGATAGAATTGAAACTATTCTTCAACACATTCTCTAATGCGCACGCATATGTTGCGTGAGACCGTTGTCAATAGCCAGGTTTCGCTTTCCTTGCACCTTAGAGTAGTGATTTTAGTAAAATAATATGTATAAGTATAATTTTTTGATAATGAAGCACAAGCAGAGCAAGCAAACGACTTGATAAAGGTGATAGATATCTAGATTACTATTTTTATATAATTTTTAAGTAACTACCTCCATTTATTAAGGGCATTTGCCCCAGCTCCTCTGGCAGCCCAAGGATCTAGAATATAAACACATCTTAAAGTGTCGGCGCCTTTTAGTGCCTCTAAAAGTGCGGGGTTGTCATGGAGACGTAAACCACGTCGAAACCAATGCACGGCATGTTTTCCAGGAACGACTAACATTAAGAGATAATTTAAAGCTATTTTTATAAAAATTTAATTAAAAATTATATAAAGTTAAAGAAAATCTTTGATTTCTAATCTAAAATTTGGATATTAAAATTTTGAATAATTTTTTTTACTTACCTTCTTCTTTAGAGTCCACTTCCATGCTTTTTATATGCACTAAATCAACTCTGGTTCATTAATGTATATTTTTATTAATGAAATTTAAAATTATTATTGTTAATATTAATTTATTCAGCTTTATTTATTTATTTATTTATACGCCAATTGGCTTACCGGAACTCAATATGATTTATTTTTAAATTAACAGGTATTTTCTTGCAAAACGGTTTGTTACTAAGAACATTCATATATGATTTCTATAATGCAATTTATAAGAATGTTATACGCATGTCCATTGCCAGAGATGGAATTGTGTAAGATACGTTTATAAGAAATTTTAATTTATCAGCTCAATTATTTATTAAATTTTCTAAATTTTCTTTTAGGTATTTTAGGTATTGGATATTCGTGAAAGTTTGTCTTAAATTTAACATAAACTAATTAGTACTTATTTAAGGGGGTCTTCCTATGTGACGGCCTGTTTTTTAGGGATATTTTAGAATTTTTTTTCTACGACCAGTAAATAGTTAGAGCTTCAAGTTTTTTATCATTTATTAATACATATTTGGACAGTATAAATATAAAATTTCAGCTAAAAAAATTTAGTCCAACTAGAGTTACAGCGCTCTAAACACCCCACCCCCCCCCCCCTCAAAAAAAGGAGCTCCCACTGTCTCCACGATTCCGGCTGATCGGCTTATCTGACCAAAAAAAAATAAACGGCGTTTTAATTTGTAGGCTTAAGAGCACGGAATGATCTACAATCAAATGAATACAAAAAAAATGGATGTTTTATAGACATTTGAAATAAAAGTTGCAAATTAGGCGTTTTGTTTTTTAGTTTTTTTGCTATAAAAAATCGAAGTTTTGAAACTACTTTTTAATATGTCTTTTAGATATATTGTGCGAATTCATATTATTAAAAGTTCGTTCCCTTTATATATTATACTGGGGTGAAACCAGAAACACGTGCAAAATCACGTGTACGATTTCATCCCTATTTATAATTGACTACCCAATCACGTGGATTATATGGAAAATAATAAAATGTCTTTATAATGAGATTATATTTTGCTAATAATTGATTGATTGATTGATCGATTGATTGAATTTAGATTTTTGGAATTTCGAAAATTTTCGAAACTCAACATTTTCTAATATGGTGTATTTTTAGAGAACTTTCTATAAATTTGAATACAATTTAATTATAATTTTTAGAAAGACAGATTTTATAAAAATTAAAAACGTAAAACGTCTCAAACAAGAGCAGGAGGAGATGTACTCCTCCTATATAAAAAAATTCATCGTCAACTCACTTAATAAAAATATGTTTAATAATGAAATGCTTTTAACAGCATTATAAGAATCCATATGCATACATTATCCTAATAAATTGTTTTTTGAAGCCTCCAGATTTTTCTGGTTTTTACACTTAAATTTCACAGCATTTTGTTCTTTTCTAATTAATGATTGTCCAAATTCATCGATAAAAATCTATATTATATTTCGATAATGAATTAAAAATTCTAGTATTACTAAGTTATTTAGTTGGATATAAAATCATACGATGAGCAAATCGAATTTAAAATAAATTGGTTCAGTAGTTTTGGAGTCCATTCGGGACAGACATTGTTATATATATATTATATATATATATATATATATACATATATATATATATATATATATATATTATTTTCTAATAACACAAACAACCATTAGTTACATAAAATTTATATTTCATACACAGATATAAATAATATTCAAGTATAAAAAACTATTTCAAAAAGACTCGGCCGCGTTATAATTTTCGTGTCCAATTTTTCAGGAAGGACATGCCTTCATATAAAAGTCTAATAAATTTTTATAAAATTATAAAATTTAACTCTTTGCTGTTACAATAAGATAATGTAATTGTAACATATTTAATCTGTAGATTTTTTTTAGATTCATTTTGATTAAAATTAATTGTAACTAAAATTTATTACAATTGGGGGGCAGTAAAATTTTTATAAAGGAAAATTTTCTTACGTATTGGTTACGGTTTTTTATTGTTTCTTAGTTTCGTGTAAGTTTTTTTTGGGTATTTTTTTAGATTGGTTTATTTTTTTGAGATAAATTCCAGTAAACAAGATGGTTAGTGAAGTTCAAGTTTGAATATTAGATTTAGGATTTATTGCAAATAGATGTAGTTCCATCCGATGTTCACCTATTAGTAGAATCATTTTTCTTGTTGCATAAATATTGTTTTTCTCTAGAAAACTTGTACTTATTTTATACCATATGGAAAGAAAGGTGATTAGGAAACCTGGAGTTAGTCCAGAATTATTTCCGTTGCCTGTGATGGTTCATGTGTTTTTAAATATATTTTCTATTCATAGTTACTGATACTTTTTATATTTTTTTACTGCTTCTGGTACCAATTACATGAAATTGATAAAATCCAATTAGGAATTTTAAGTAGTATCTTCTAGATGTCTGGAAACCTAACACCAAATATTTTAACTGAATGCTATGGATAATTTTGTAGATGTTCTAAATTATAAGCCAAGTCGGTTATTGGGCTGATTTGGTCCTTGGTAACCAAAAACAACCTTAGAAGTTTTCTTCTGGTATCTTCTTCAGCATATTGCCTCATTGTTTAACCTCAGAAAATATTTTACATTGGGAGACTTTTTGCCTAATCTGTTGTAATACTGACTTATAAGCAACTTTAGAAATCTGCTTCTGATATCTCATAAAATTTGGTGATTTTTTAGCAGTAGAAAGCCACTAGAAACTTTCTTAGATTAGTATCCGACATCAACCTCTGATTAGTTAGAATCTTATTTATCAGGTTTCATTATCCCTTTTTATTAGAAGAACGATGGTATCCTCGACTTTGGTTTTTTCTTTGGTGAATATTTGTGATGCTGAGCCGAAGAAGTTGATGGTTGTCTTCTGTCGTATGTTAGATGTTTTTGATGATGAATTTTGGTCTGGACTGGAGAATCTAATGATTCATTTGACTCGCTGCTGGGCATGTAGTCTCTGGGTTCGGATATCTGAAAATAAATGACAAGAAAATTTATTATTTAGTGCAATTTTTTCTTCAAACAACTTTATAGTTGATGTGAAGTGCAATTGTAGTACAGAAAAATTAGGTGCATTACACTATTTTAGTATTTTCCGTATTCGACAGAGGGTCTACTGTGCCAAAATTCATCACTCTTTATAAGAGTAATAAAAATGGCATGGGAATTTATTATTTAGCTCAATTTTTTCTTTAAACAACTTTATAGTTGATGTGAAGTTGCAGTTGTAGAACAGAAAAACTGGGTGCTTTACACTATTTTAGTATTTTCCGCATTCAACAGAGGGTCTACTGTACCAAAATTCATCACTATTTAAAGAGTTAATTTTCTAATTATAATACACTTACTCTATACGTGCAATATTTATTTCCTATATATTTTTGTGAAAATATGTTTATGATTTAGTTGAAAAATATATCTATATCTACTATATCTAGAATTAATTTTCTAATTATAATATACGTACTCTAAACATTTAATTTTTTTCTTATATATTTTTGTAAAAACATTTTTGTGATCTAGTTGGAACTCTATTTAATACGCGTATGCATTGTTCTCATTTCATTTTTTCAAATTAATCAGGTTTATCTACTCTATGTTATATATTTATATAAATCTTATCTAGAATTAAACCCAGGGGTGAATTTACGTGCTACAGTTGGTGGTGGCATCTATGGAGCGCGGAAACAATTAAAATTAAATATTTGCGATCTATTTATCCGTGTTTTTACAAAGATTTTGGACATTTCACGTAGTAATCACAAAATAATTTACAAATTGGCTCATATGATTTTACTATTCTAGTTTGTACTAGAAAAGGCTGTAACTAGTGTAGTATTTTTGCATAAAATTTGGGACATTTGGAAAATATCAGGAAACAAATAGTTTTTTAGAAAATTTTTAATTGTGTGCGTGTGTGTGAACAGGTTTTTTACCGTAAATCGACGTTTTCTCAAAAACGCCTGTAGCTCAATTAGGACTATCGTTTGTCACTTTTTTGCGACGATCTGCCAAGCCGTTTCTATGTAATTTGGAAAAAGGTGTTAAACTTTTCGTCCACATTTAAATTCAACTACCGAATCGATTTTAAAAAATCAAAAACTATTCGAAAGATATTAGTTGGGAATGATGCTGATTAGTTTTGGGTGAAAATCTACCGAGCCGTTTTCTTGTAAAAAAATTAAGCCGATTTTTATGAAACTTTTTTTGGCGATGTATATCATGGTCTTATAGAACTTACTGAAATATTATGGCTTTACGATAAGTAGTTTAATTTTAAAAATGCATCAAAGTAAGTAGAAAATGAGTAGTTTTTTTGACGTTTGTTAAATTAAAATTAGACGATTTACTTGGCATAACGATAGAGTACTTGGTCTTAATGAACATACTACACCATTAAATTCCCACGGAAACTGGTTCAATTATCAAAATTATTGATTTGTGAAAATTTGTTTTTAGAAAACAGTCCAAGTTAACGTGTTCGTTCATTTGCAATTATGTGTAATAAATCCACTCGGAATACTTTTAATCACTCATAAAAATAATTTATTTATCATGGATTTAGTCGTTTATTTACACACATCGGGAAGTTCATGTAACTTGCCTCAAGGCAAAATACCAATACCAACTAGTTATCGATTAAGTCGATTACGTATATGTATCGGTATTTTTATGCAACTTGCCTTAAGGCAAAATACAACTTACAACTACTGATTTATTATTATTACCGGTGATTTCCTCTTCGTCCTCGGTGACCTCGATCCCGACGGCGACCTGATGCTGATGTTTTCCTTCTTCGTCCTCGACATTGTTCCCTTGTATTTCGGAGTTTGCTGGTTGGGAAGAAAAGACAAAACAAAATTTGTTGTGGTTTGTTTTTTTAATAGAAGAAATCGTTTACGCGAATCAAGACCCGTTTTTTGTTGTACCTCCTCTCATTTGCACTTTCCTGCGTTTTTGGGAGAGACAA